TTTTTGAAGTACAGCTATTCCTTACAAATTTCTCATAATGGATCGATACCGCGTACGCTGGGAGATTTACAGCCGCGGATTACGTTTCCCAGGAAAAAAGGCAGTCTTGGTCAATAAGTGAGGAGTTGGTACTAGTAGCAACTTTAAACTGGACTCCGGGCCAGCGATCCACCAGGTATATCACTAGTACACAAAGTGTGCCATATTCTTGAAGGGGCTTTTAATAGTTAGGTGTTTCGCCCACAGATTAACACTACCAAACTAGATATTACTTGCACCTGGGGACTCCGCCCATCCTCGCGTTGAAGCTCCGTGAATTTCAAAGGATGAAACGCGAGCCGATACAAAAGAAACACCGTCATTCCATCATTTTGGCTCGCTTCAAATTAATGGAGAGGCAGTTGTGCGTTGTTGATATCCAACCGCTCGCCTTAACTCATGGATTGGAAGAAAGGGCTAACAAAGAAACAGCTTAATGCGAAGCTGATAATGAACGTTTTCCTGTAAATAACCAGTACGTGGCTCAGGAGAAAAAGTATGTTCCAAAACAACGACCACTTTCAAACGGCAAATTTTGAATGTCCTGACTGACCTTATACACATGTTCACTGTAGAGAAGTTCATCAGACTTTCGTAAAAGACTTATGATTACGAAACCAATACATTGGCTTCTCGTAAGTGAAAAATAGCCCAGCGATCTTGTTCAAGAATGATAGGAACCAATTGTGAGTAGATTCGATGTACAAGTGTTATATCTGCTGATTCGCCAATCTGAGCTATATGCTGCCGACCCGCTGCAATGCCTAGTGCCGGAGAAAAAAGACTCACAGAAGGGAACACAACCGCTACATTCCGAACAAGCAAGTGCAATGGCGTGAGTGCGAATGTACTACGGTTCGGGGGGGGCAGCGATCCACCAGGTATATCACTAGTACACAAAGTGTGCCATATTCTTGAAGGGGCTTTTAATAGTTAGGTGTTTCGCCCACAGATTAACACTACCAAACTAGATATTACTTGCACCTGGGGACTCCGCCCATCCTCGCGTTGAAGCTCCGTGAATTTCAAAGGATGAAACGCGAGCCGATACAAAAGAAACACCGTCATTCCATCATTTTGGCTCGCTTCAAATTAATGGAGAGGCAGTTGTGCGTTGTTGATATCCAACCGCTCGCCTTAACTCATGGATTGGAAGAAAGGGCTAACAAAGAAACAGCTTAATGCGAAGCTGATAATGAACGTTTTCCTGTAAATAACCAGTACGTGGCTCAGGAGAAAAAGTATGTTCCAAAACAACGACCACTTTCAAACGGCAAATTTTGAATGTCCTGACTGACCTTATACACATGTTCACTGTAGAGAAGTTCATCAGACTTTCGTAAAAGACTTATGATTACGAAACCAATACATTGGCTTCTCGTAAGTGAAAAATAGCCCAGCGATCTTGTTCAAGAATGATAGGAACCAATTGTGAGTAGATTCGATGTACAAGTGTTATATCTGCTGATTCGCCAATCTGAGCTATATGCTGCCGACCCGCTGCAATGCCTAGTGCCGGAGAAAAAAGACTCACAGAAGGGAACACAACCGCTACATTCCGAACAAGCAAGTGCAATGGCGTGAGTGCGAATGTACTACGGTCTCAAGCTATTTATTGGAGGAACACTGTCCGAACTTGGTCCAATGCTGACGCACACGTGTGGCTTTTGTGCGAGGCTGTGACGTGCTGCATATCGCGGGGGCGTTGTCTGACCTTGATCAACGCTGACTCTCGCTGTCTGGGTTTGATACAAGGCTGTGACGCGCTGCATATTGAGGGGGTGTTGTCTGTCTGGTCAACATCTAGAGGAGCTGAGAGTCTCGGTAGATTTCGGGCATTCAGCGGTTGCTTTCAGGCAGCTGACCTTCCTAATGAAAAGAATCATTTAGTTTCGGCTCAGTCAGCTAGTGGGGCGAATCTAGGAAACTAAGCCTGTGGAGAGACCCATTTGGCTTTGGTAAGAAAAGTCACTTTTACATTATGTGATGCCATGAGTTCATGTATTCTGACGAAAGACTGCTCAGTTAGAGACGAGGTGGTTCAGTGGCTAGAGCGCGAATTTACTGACCAGAAGGTCCACGGTTCGAACCCGCCCTCTGTCAGCCAGGCACCGAAAGGGTGTTAGAGCTGAGTGATTACACTGACACCGCACTCTGGGCAGATTGTATAAATATTTCGTCCAAAACCAGAAAATACTTGGTGGTTTTAACTAAATTATTGCGGGGGAAATGCCATCAACCTGGTTGCTTCTTTCACGTCTATTTCATATGCTGATTCGTTTGCCTGTGGCAGAAAGCTACAACTGATAAACCACTCGATACTGCCAATGAAACATAATTAAACAGACAGCCGAGAAGTAGCAACAGCGAAACTGAACGCGGTCACTAGGTTTGTCGTTTTCATTTGGTTGGGCTACCTAAATACTGACGTAGCTGTCTTGTCCAGTATAAATGGGCTGCAGAGTCCATTAGATCACATTCGTCTGTCGCACTGCGACTTCTTAAAAATCTGCGATATCATCATTTGCCTGGTTTCTGTAGCGCGAACCAATTTCAATTCTACTGTGAAATTTGGGTACAGAAATACTCGAAGAAATGGTCGGACTAGTTGGCTTTACGATGAAGGACCAACTCAATATTAAGGCAAGCAATTGTTGACACTTAGATTTCGGGAAACAAGTGGCCTAACCCCAACGATCCAGCCGTTCGACTGCGGAGAATGATCTTGTGGATTTCCAGTGCGACCGACTGAGCTTCCGCATAAATGATACGACAAAGAGTCAATGGGTAGGTGACAAGTGTCCACCAAACACTTCATATCATCTACTCGGAGATGGACTAGTAAATAGGGTTTGTGTTCTCAAAAGGCTGACAATTAGAAATGGAAGCACGACGCAGTGTGAAGTGCTTTCCATTGAAAAGGCAGTGAAAATGACTATTGATCATTCTTCAAATGTTTCATCTCGATCACAGGATTATTTTTGATGCGACTAGTCTTAATAGGGACGTTGCATATCCAAGTGTGTTAGTGCATAAAGGTATGCTCGCCAAACCAAGACACATGGATGAAATTCAAATGATCATTATTGTACGGAATTTTGTCGCTAATAGTAATGGTACTTTCGCAATAAACCACTCCACGTCTGTCTGTCCATTCACCTTTGGATATCATTTGCCTCTAACTAACTAACTGTGAATTGGTTGCGAAGCTTTCCTGGTACCTTAACCATTTCGGTACGAACAAGAGATCGGCTCACATTCGCCAAAGCATTTAACCTATGACCGGGTTCTGGAATGTTTTACTGAATAGTGTTCACACTAATTTACTTAGGCCTATGGTGAAGCATTTCATTGCCATTTGCTTTTCAGCTATAATGCCCTAGTGAAAAGTGAAAGTTTGATTCCAACAAAATGTTGCGATGTCATCCCCTTACTCCTGTTACACGGATATCATTGCGACATTTCCGAATGTGCCAGGAAAAAACGTTTCAGAAAACGTTTTTGCTGCAGAAAACAATCTGCAGCACAAACGCCTAGGAGAACCTACGGTATTCCATGGGGTTGAGTCCGAATAGACTCGCAATGTGGGGGACAAGGGTTGCGCTAACTAACTAGCGTACCCCTCGTCTTACCTGCCTCGACGCGTTGAACGACTTTCAGCAAAACTCACAGTAATGTCAATCAAGGGTTTCAAAATATTAAACATGCTAACATCCAATGGTTGCAAGGGATGAGGGAAATTCATGATAACATCCCTCCCTCACAGTGCTGTGTGCAGGAAAGTAATACAGATTGCTACGAAGAGAGAAGCATTACATTTCAGGCATCGGCATTTGATGCTGGAAGGAAAGATATGGTATGAACAATTATAAATTAAGCTTGTTTACTATTAGTGTCAATTTCAAAATCTTCATTCAGATACGTGAACAGAAAAAGTCAACAGGCTTCGAAGAGTTATCCTCACGATACTGAGCAACCATGACATAAAGTATGCGGATAATGCGAATGAATCCACCCCATACTTGTCCACCTCGCAAGGCAGTGAAAGAAGAGTATGAGACAGCTTGTGGCAATAAGGCGCTTAAGGACGGAATGATTGCTGTTTTGTGGAGGCATGGAAGATGGAAAACAGGGAAAAAAGTTGAAAACAATACCTGGTGATGGGTAAGTACAAATCTCCAAGATGACCCAAGGACGTGACACACCTGCCCTGCACATTCATAACGTGCCTAAATAGCTCATTTGCAAGGAGTCCCTTATTAGTCATACACAAGAGGGCCATTCAGAACAGACTCGTTGACATTAAGTGCGAGAAAAATCTTTCAATTCCCGTTCAATATCCTCGGTAGAAAATTGTGCTCCCTTTAACCAAGGGATACCACAGAGTATAACCCACTCTTTCAGATGCAATTTCGAACAAAATGCACCCGAAGTTGCATTCAGCCACATATACAACAGAATTGACTGTGATTTATCAGGCCTTGCGAGTTGGCTACGAACGATGCATTTAACCCGACAAGGCTGGGACACAGTTCGGTCTGACCCGCAAGTAAAGGCTTTCAGAAAAGCGGGACTTGTCGCATAGTGACAGAAACCGCGGTCACTCAGAAAAACGTACGGGTTGCAATTGCACTAATGAGATTTCATTTCATCGGAAGACTGAACCGACTGACCTAGATAACAACGAAGTGAGTTTTCATGCTCAGCGGCGTTTCTCTTGACAGAGAGCAATGGGATGAAGGAGAGAAGAAAGACGTACTAGTTGATGATACGATTCGGAAGTTGGAGCTGGGGTCCCTTCAGGAATTTCAACGTCAGAATATCAGCAACTGTGGAAGCAGTGGTAATTATTCCGGTTAGACCCCACGTTCGCACCCACCCTTCATTACTAATTAGTAAAAGAGATAAACGTACTACAGCGTTTATTATTTACAGGGCCACCCGAGTTCTTTATTGCATTTTAGTTGTCAACTCTAAGTTGTTGTTTCTCTGCAAGGTCCAAGAGGCGGTCCTCGGCGGTGAGCCCATCAATACGCACAGGTTCAGATAGGATGTGGAGGTTTTGCTTGATTTCTTCTGGACTGAGTAAACAATCTGTTTCAGACTCCGAATTAAATGGGTGCCACATGCCCTGTATTGACGGTGACTTGGTGGACCAAGTCTTGTAAATCGGCATGATATCCAACCCCGAACGATTTCGCAAAAATTCCATCCAATTATGAATCTCTTCACATTCCATTTGAGAAGCTTTTACGTATTGCCAGTTTCCGCACACTGAAAACAACCAGAGTTACTCGTAGTATCAACATACGATACTCAGCTACAAGCAGCGGCGGCCTGTGTCGACGAGGCTTTACATAAACAACAGTCGCGGGATTTCTCCGAGCGAAATCAACCAAGTATCCCTCGATATAGTCCCTTGAGAGTTGAACGATTGTAAAGGAACAAGCGTACCTGACACCTTTAGAATCCGACCGAGACTTACAGAATTTGATCGTTATTCGTTGCAGCTGCGGCACGTATCTTCCAATTCCGTTCGTACCGACAACTTGTAGTATACTTCTGGGGATTACATTTCCCGACATTTCGGGAATGGTGTTTAGCTCTGAAGTTTCAGCAAGTTTGGGGAAAGTTTGTCTGCAAAAGTGAAATAACAGGACAGTTGGCGCACGATAAAAAAACGGAAGTAAAAGAAGTCGTACGATAAAGGATTATTATTGTCCTCCTCCTTCATTATCATCACCGACAGCAAAACATCAGTTTTCAAAACCGGTACTTATATACTTATCACTCCGAAGAAAAAAAATAAAATTGGATAACAAAGAGAACTGGTTCTAGCGTGTCACGATCATTTCGATGTCCCTACATCTCCATGAGCTCATTTAGATAGTCTGGACAGAAAACGACTAGAGCTCTAATGATATCGATTAGCAGCCATCTCTGCAGTGTCCCTAAGGATGCAGAGGGATGATCACTCGGACTCCACCCTGGAAGACCAGTCGCATGGACAGTGACCACGATCTTCGTAAGCGACCAACTAAAAGTTGGTCACCCCGCTGCCTGCACCACCCTTAACTGGGTACGGTATGACGACTCGTCACGCGCGATATGTGACCCAACCACAACACATTTTTTCATTGAAATCCACTGCGTACCCTAACACCCATGTCTAAGTGTATCGTTTAGGATTCATTAGCACAAGCTATGGCCATGAAACAAGGGTTATCAAAGACCTAAAGTTTCATTTATGCTGCTTACGGATGCCACGCCCCAGCCATGCAAAACAGTTCATACTGTAGTGATACACAAGTTCCTTGAGACTCAGGGACTGGCTCATACTGTAGTGATACACAAGTTCCTTGAAACTCAGGGACTGGTCACTTTGTCACCACAATACATCAAGTTAGCGAACACCAACCGGGCTTTAGGGAATCGTGTACCGACTTCATTTATCACACTACGATCGAGACCTTCACAGCCTCCAAGATATGTAGAATGTTTCACACTGCACTGTAAGTTACGTGCAAAGTGACTGCAGATCCGGGAGCACAGCCGTACACTTTGTGGATGCAGAGCATATGAAGTTAGTAGTCCATCAAAATAATGTGTGCCTTCTCATTTTCGAAGAGAATGATAACGTCCACATATTCCAGATCGACAGGACTCCCGAACCACCAGGGTTTTTAAAAGGCATTCCAGCATCCGTCTCACTATCTCGTTGACCAGAAAATGAACAGGAGTGGAGAGCTCTCCGTAAACTCTTACGCTGCCGGAAGTCTCAGAATACAAAGAACATATTATGCTGACAGAATTCTGGGGAATTCCTTGCTGAAAAACCAGACGACTGGGTCAAATGCACTTGTGAAATGTAGAAAAACCTAAACTGTGCATCATCATCATCACCGACAGCATGACACCGATGCTTCACTGCCGTACAACCATGACTTATTTGAAAGCCTTACTGTAAAAAAAGTAAAGATGGACCGAGAAAAGCCTTACTGTAAAGAAAAGAGTAAAGAAGGACCGAGGAGGGACTTAGTGTTTGGGGGGTTCCCTTTCCACTAAGCAGGAAAGCAGATCAGATAAGCGCTGGCTGAGGACTTCAGCCCCATCCGTGAACAATGCCAATTCATCCTGCCCATTCCGGTATTCTGGCCTCTCTCATTTCCTTAGACTTCCGTTTCCCAGGCTTCGGGATCGGTACGAACGCTGACTTTCACTTGACGTCCGATAATTCATCAGGCTGAATTACGTTCAGGATGGGCTGAACATTTCGCCAAGATTCAAGCGGAACAATTGTCCTGCCTGATATCCAAGGTTTGAGGGGACCTAGTAGCGCTGCGCGGCCGAAATAATCCACTGCATTATACAAGGCTGTGGAGACCCCGATCTCACAAAGATTGATACCCGACGGTAGAGCAGTTGGGAGCTTGTCCAAAAGACGGTTCGGATAAATTCGTTTAACCTCCGGACCGGCTAGCCTTGGTTACTGAGCTAGTTGTCCATCCTTCGGGGCGAGATGGCTCACTGGTTAGAGTTCGAATTCACTGACCGGAAGGTCCGTGGTTCGAACCCGACCTCTGCCTCTCGAAATCCCCTGTCTAGGCTTGGACAACCTGGCAGTATCCTAGCCATCGTGCTTCCTTCTGGCAGCATGGCAGCTAGGCACCGAAAGGGTGTTACAGCTGAACGCTATCTTTTACCCATCTTTCAAACGGCCCTGGGAAGCGAACAGAAATGATTTCAGATGTGTGTATTCAGAATCCCAAAAAGTGCATGAAAACGAGTGGCATTCAGTTAATGAACCACGTCATCGGTAATTGATGGTGATGTAGTCAATTTGGGTTTGTGGCTGGTAGGATGTTGGAGAATACCGTGGCAGGAGGACTTTAAGAGTAAAAATAGTAATGACCGTCCAACTGCAACAGCCTTTCAGTGTCTGGAGGCCGGGTCAACCAAATAAAAATGCGGGTTGGAAAATTGCCAGGTCACTCGAGCATCAACACCAGCGGTTAACATACCAAGGTTGGGTTAGGACCATGGATTTACCTCGTCGTAGGATCGCGCCTTAACCACTGGGTTACTTCGGGTACCAAACGACTCTGGTTAACATAATTTTGAAGCAGGTATTCGGTGTTGGCTGCACACACCGAGTCTCAAGCTAAAGATGCCACCTTGACGTCGTGGTTGGACAAAAGTGCATCAATAATCTCGCGGGATAGAAATGGTCGGAACAAGGTTAAACCACCCCGAGGAAGTCCAAAGTGAAGCACACAGACCAAGAGCGGTGAGATCCCGAACTGTGGGTGGTCGTGCTATGAGGCGGTCTGGGGCTGTTTGGTCAGTACAAACTTTCAGCATATACATTCGCATCGTGTAGGCTGGCGGCGTACAAACTTTCAGCATATACATTCGCATCGAGTAGGCTGGCGGCCAACAACTGCAAATCAACCGTGGGCCCAACTGGGTCACGTGGCCATAAGCCACCGGTGGAGAGCTACAATTCAAGACTGCCGTTTCTTCTGGGGAACACAACTTGACTCCGACCACGCCATGGAGCGCGCACGCCTAATAGTCCGTGCTCCCTCAGGTCCTCGCAAGTCAGCAAGAAGCATGCCAATCCACTATCTTGGAAAAACTAGCTCAATAGTATCAATCTGAGCTACCCCAACAATTCTCCGCAGTAAACCAATACTGCACCGACAATGAGCATGTGAATGAAGTGTGGCGAAATGTGAAAGGTGTAAGCGGCGTTCAGTGCTGTCCGTCCGAAAACCAGTGGTTATCATCGAGATCGCTATCCATGATTGATGCCAGGAAAGCTATACCAGCAGGCAACGAATTTGACGGCACACGCAAATCCCTCAAACGCCAAATTGTGAAGAGTCTAAGGAGAAACCGAGAGCCCACCTGGAAGTCGAAAGATCGGGAGACGGAGAAGGGTTTAGAACCCGGGAACAGCTGTGTTCTACATCAAATGATAGGATCGACTACCCCATAGCAAAGCAACGGACAGTGAAACGATAAGTGAAGAAGGCAGCTCATTAATTCACTCACAAAAACGTCGACTGAAAAGATGGGCCAAACACTTCGAAGAACAATTTAGCTGGCCTACTGCAACCCAGCCCGTGAATATAGTGCATACGGACGAGTGGAATGTAAACCTTAATCGCCCGTCGGAGAAATAAAGTATAAAATACCATACTAAGACTAAAAAAGGCACCAGGATCGGATGGTCTGTATCCGGTCCTCATCAAAGAAGGCATGAAATCCCTGATAATCCACCTGACAAAACATAGTAGTGCTATATGAAACGAAGAGGTGCCTGCAGAATAAGGCATATCGGCAATTAGTCCTGTCTTCAAAAAGGGTACATAGATGCTGTGTGAAAACCACCTTGGCATCAGCTTGGTAGCTGTGGCATCGATTGTCCTTTTTGGTTTTATCCTTTGACTGTTGACTGAACACAGGGGGAGGCAAATCCGCCCTGCAAGAGGATACACCGATCACATTCTAGCCCTCTGACAGATTCTGGAGCAGTGACACTGCTTCCAGAATCCAACAATGGTTGTGTTCCTTGATCTGAAAGCTGCCTTTGACTCTATAGACCGTCAGGCACTATGGCAGTGTCTGCGGAGCAAAGGTGTCCCCCATAAATTCTTGACCCTAGTTGAGGCCCTGTACACCAACTCCCTCGGCCGCGTGGGAGTCTACGGGAAGCTCTTGCTTGAGTTCACCACATCAAGTGGTGTCAGCGTTGTCCACTTTCAACACTCCTCTTGATCTTCGTCATTGATACGATTATGGAAGACT